GCAGACCACTCCATAGGACAGTCTGTGGGGATAATCTTTGACTTCTGCTTCTCCCCTTTCTCATCAAAACAGCAGCTACTGCTGGAAAACACGACTTCCCTCTAACAAGATTTGGCATTAGAGTTCTAGAAGAATTCAAGGCCTGGAAAGAAAGAAAGATAACGTGAAGAATTCATCTGCAAAGGAAGAAAAAAACATACACCACAAACTTTAACAACAGAGCATGCTCTCCCCATTCTGGTACCAAACTCTCCCTACTCTTAACTCTCTTCTCTCATCTGCTGATAAACTTCACACTTAGACACCAGCCATTTCACAGTGTCTCCACAGGACAGCCCTCAAGGACAGAGCCTCAAAGTCTCAGCCCAGAAAGTTCCTTCTGCACAGAAAAATGGAGGTATTTTTAATCTAAGAGTGAAATATGGCTAAGTTTCTGTGACTCACCCAGTTAAAGTGACTTTTAAATGAGTAAAGCAAAAAAAAAAAAAAAAAAAAAATCACAAAAACAAAAAGCACTAAGACTTACCCCTATATGAACATAAAGAACAATGGATTGTACTTGCTCGTGAGAAAGCTTGGGAGCTTTCTAGTTTTCTCCCAGATCTACAAAAGCATAGAAAGTGTTGTCCCTTTCTGTGGCCCAATGGATCAGTACCTCAGACTCTTCTAGGGTTCAGCCAACAAAATTGATAACGACGAGATGCAGGATGGTGTTGGCAAAGAGGAAATCGGCGAATGCCCGCTCTGGTGAAATGCCTTGGAACTCGGCTTTGTTCTGGGGGTTAATCTGGATCCTGAGACAAACTGTATGGCAGAGAGAAAATGGTACATCAGAGATCACAAAGGGAATTCTTGGCATGAAGCACGGCCTTGCTAAGGCAGTCCACCCTGGTCCAGGTCATTGTTCCTCCAAGATTTAACAAGCGAAACCAACTTCATCATTGTTACAAGAAAGGCAGAACATTGACAGGGGATTTGCATGTGGCTGATGGGCAGCCAGTTCTCTCACAGCACTGCACTATTAGAGATGGCCATGGAAAATCTGAAGGAAGTGGGCTTACAAATGGATTGGCTTGGCACAGTCAAGGAGCCAGTAAAACACCGTAGGTTGTGCTGGGAAGGGCTGCGCAGGGACAAGATGTTTTTAAAAGGGTGCATTTTAGGGGAGCACCATCCTGAAGCAGTTATTTCTAGAGTTGGGTTCACTGCAGGATGAACACTAAGGAAAGAAATCAATACACAATGGTAAAAGGGAAGATTCCCTGACCACCCTGGAGAAGGAGGGACACATGGGGCTCAAGAGGAGCTGCGATGTGTGGTGCACAAACGTAAGTTCACAGTCTGCTGCAGACCATCTTGCTGGGGGGCAGTTGCTATGGCAACTTTCTGGTTTCTAGAGAGGGTATGGAATTACCCAAGGAATGCCAAGCAGCAGCACTGCCTGGTTGCTGGACAAGCTGGGGGCTGCTGATCCCTGGGCTGGGGTTTGGCCAAGGGGGGTCTGCAGTTGGTGTCAGAGCTGTCATCCAAAGGGACCCTGACAAACTCAAAAGATGGGCCCACATAAACCTAATAACATTCAACAAAGCCAGGTGCAAAGTGCTGCACTTGAGTCAGAGCAATCCCAGATACGTACACAGTCTGGGAGAAGTTCCTGAGAGCAACCCTGTGAAGAAGGATTTGGGGGTCCTGGAAGAGGAAAACCTTAACATGAGCCAGCAGTGTGCACCTGCATCCCAGAAAGCCAGCAGTTTCCTGGGCGGCATCAAAAGAGGGGGGCCATCAGGGTGGTGATTGTCCCCCTTTGCTCTGCCTCTGGGAGACCCCATTGGAGTATTGCATCCAGGTTTGGGGCCTCAACACAAGAAAGATGCGGAGTTTTGGAGAGGGTCCAAAGGAGGGCCGTGAGGGCTGGAGCACCTCTCCTATAAATTCAGGTGGGGGGAACTGGTCTTGTTCAGTATGGAGAAGACTGCGGGGAGACCTCATTGTGGCCTTCCAATATTGAAAGGAAGATTATAAACAGGAAGGAAATCAACTTTTTACATAGTTAGTGATAGACGAGAGAAAACAATTTTAAACTAAAAGAGGGGATGAGATGTCACAAATTTTTCACAGAGAAGGTGGTGAGGAGCTGAACAGGCTGCCCAGAAAAGCTGTGGGTGCCCCACTCATGGAGGTGATCAAAGGCCAGGCTGGACTGGGCCACTGGCAATCTGACCTGGTGGTTGCAACCAGCCCACACAGAGGGGCTGGAACTCGGTGATCTCTGAGACCCTCTGAGACCCCTTCCAACACAAGCTGTTCGTACGTGTTTCTATGTGGCCGTTACTGAGGGAGCTCCGATAGCTACGGGGCTTCGTGCGCTGCCGGGAGCTCCCTGCGTGCTGCGGGAGCTTCGGGCAGCGCCACGGAGAAATCCTAACGGCACGCCGTGGGCGTCGGGGGAAACCGCGCGGGGTTCTCACTGACCGCCGAGGATGAAGCTGCCGACGGCGGAGATAAAGCCGCTGAGGAAGGAGTTGAAGGGAAAGGTGCCGACACCCAGGCAGTAGCCAAACTGGAGCGCCCCGGTGAGCATCACGTACAGCAGGTATGCGTCCAGCACCTTGAGGCGGCTCGACGTGCCGCTGCCGTACTCCGCCAGGAAGCGCCGCACCACAAAAGCTACGGAGCCCGCAGCGCCCGAACCCGCCGCGCCCGACATGATGCCGCCCCTAGACAAGCTGAGGTGGCCGGAAACAGAATGGATAAGCTTCCGGGACACAGACGAACAACGCGGGCGGGTGGCCAGGCCACTTCCGGGTCAGAGGTAGTGCGCAGGCGTAGTTGTCCTGCCCACAAAAGGGCGGAACTGAGGTGTTACTGGAGATAATACGCATGCGCATAACTACGTGCCGGACTGGCTTTTTTTTTTTTTTTTTTTTTTTTTTTAACCGGCGCGTGCGCAGAAGCCCGCCAGCTTCCAGAGGCGCCCTTGTCCGAGCTCAGCTCGGGGCGCCGTGGCGCTGCTTGTCGGGACGCGGCGTGGGCTTCATCTGTGTTTCTGTGCAGCGCCTGGCACGCTGAAGTCCCAGCAGTCCTGCAGAAAGCTGAGACCTGAGTGTGGGGGTTTTCCCAGTCTTAATCTGCAGTGCCCAGTATGGGGCCTGGGACTTTTCTCCCCAGCCCGTTGTCTGGTTTTGGGGCATCTCTGGGAATATTCACATTCTTTCTGGTCAGCACAGCAGCGGCGAGATGTCTGTGAAGATGTCCAAATGCCATCCTTCCTCCAGATGCCTGCAACTGTTACTTTTGTGTGGGTCCCTTCATATTTATGTCCAGAGAGAAGCATTGTGGTGATGGGGTGATGGTTGCAGTTGGTGATCTTAGAGTTTTTTTCTAACCCTAATGATTCTATGATTGTATGATTGAGAACTGCGGTGTTTCCTCTCCACCTTACCCAGCTCTCTGCAGTAAGGGAGTACAGAAAATGTATCTCCTCCAGGTCCACCAGCAATTCTCCCTGGGTTGGTTTATCTCATACCTGGACCAGGAGCCTCCTGGATAGTTTGCAGACCACCATGTTGCTTTCCCAGCAGATATCCAGGTGGTTGAAATCCCTCATCAGGATGAGAGCTTGTGAAGATGATGCTTGTAGTTGAAGCAAGAAGTTCTCATCAGCAGGATTCTCTTGATCAGGCAGCCTATAGCAGGCCATGACCACCAAATGTCCTGTCTTGGCACAGTCCCTAATTTTTACTCACAAGCTCTCAATGGCTGGTTTTTTTAGAGGCAGTCCTTTGCAATCTATCCATTCCTTCACACAAAGCGCAAAGCCCCAGCTTCTCTTTCCCTTCTGAAAAACATGCAGCCCTCATTTGCGGTGTTCCACTTGTGTGATTGTCATGCCTACATGCCATGGTCTGTGTAAGATCCCTACACACATAACTTCATATAGTCACAGTTCCTTTCTTCGCTGGCTAATGCTTCACGCTTTCCTCCTCAGCTGATGACGTATTGTGGCAGATTCCCATTCGATCAGAACAAGAGTTGATACTGATATCAAGTATGCTCACTTGTAGTTTTGGATCTGCTCACAGTTTAGCAGTGAGTGGCTGCATGAGCAGATAGTGAACTGGGGAAGGAGCATCATTTAGCACATGCTTGTGGTAAACTGCTTGCTAATGGATTGTAATTGCTAATGCTTGTGCTTCAGGAATAAAAGTCTCCTATACCCCTTCCTAGGGTTTTCCCAGCGTTGCAGATGAGCACGTTAATATATCTTTCTCATTATTTAGAATTTTTTTAAAGAAATGAAGACGCTTAAGGAGAGCACCTCGATGGTCCACAGAAATCCTGGGATGGACAGCTGCTCAAGATGATGATTCACCCAAACTGAAATACATATTACTTTTAGGCTGGGACTGTGACTGGAGATGCTGAAAACAGGCACAATTAGAAGAGCTTACCCTACTGTATGCTATGATGACTTTCCAGACTTTCAGGAGGGAAAGCTTCTAGGCAGGGGCAGAACTAAACCACATTGTCACCTCTCGTTCCCTGTATGTAAGGACCTACTGGCTACACCAGAATACTCCAGAGTATCTTGAGCAAATACTGCACTTTCCTCTAATTTGCAGGATAAAGCCATGATTTTCCTGGTGCCTGGGCATGAGAACCCAGGTCTGAGTGTCACGTTTTTCACCCCATATGCCTTGTCTCCCTTTTCATTCTGGAAACCCTTACCTCACAGGAAGACCAACAGAAGGTTCAACTCTTTCACTTTTCTTTCCATAACCTGAGCTCTGGATCTAAAACACTGGAATGCTTTAGCCACTTCCAGCTTTCCTTGTGGTATAGAAATAATCCATTTTTTGGAAAGTGTCTCTTTTGACATTTCAGGGATGGAACGATAGATGATTGTTTTTCTGCATTTTGCACTTGTCTGTTCCAGACAGAAAAGATGAGTCTTAAAGGAAGAACAGTGTTTATTTTGGGAATCACTTAGTGCAATGGAGTGAAAACATTAAAGCTGTGAAGGTAGATCATTAACAAACCAGTAACTTTCCTGCTGTAGCTAGAATAAGTCAGCTATCAACCATCAGCCTGGGCAGATGCTGCTACAGCTAAGATCAAGGCTTTGTCACATGTTGTAGCTTGCAGAAAATTCACTGTTTATTGGAAGATGAATCAGACACTTTGCCAACATGGATGGCAGGAAGTGTGGTGTAGCACATTCTCAGTGGGAGCTATGGTTACTATGCCTTTTGTCAACACCTCTAAACATTCATCTTTTCTAGTGTGCATGGCAGTCCTGTATCAAGAGAGAAGCCATCTGTGAGCAGGCCAGTAGCCCATTTTGCCAAAGCTGGATTTGGAAAGGGCCATCACTCCATGAAGAAAGTTATGCTTCCCTTCCACTCCCACCTCCAGCTAAAAGAAGCATGGTGGAGGTTGTGAACTATGTTTTCTGTTGTGCTCAGCATGATGCAGATGCAGCCCAGCCAGTAGGAGACATCTCACAAATAATGAGAATTCATCTCTTATCCTAGCTGGTAGCAGCAGTGAGGTTACAGCATGGCAGGTAAATTTAAGCTATGCTTTGTGGTCCTATTATTTTCCACAGGTGCTGATGTCCTGTATGCTGATATTGAGCTCATTGCCTAAAGATGCTTGGATTTACACTGATCCCAAGGAGGGTGTTACTTGCCTCCAGGCACTTGTCCAGCTGAGACACTGCAATGAAGGAGAGATGGGGAGTGAGGCAGGAAGGAGGGCCCAGAGAAGGAAAGGAGAAAGAGGACATAGGACTATTTCACGTGCCCTCAGGAAATTGAGGTCCTGTAAAGGGGTAAGGCAAATGCCATTGGAGAGAATGGGAAGGAGGCTCTGCTGTGTAGATCTGCAGGAAAAGGACCCTCAAGGCTTACCAGCTCGGTTGCACAGCCAGGTTACAGCCTTTGCCTCCAGCAAGTCATACATCTCGTGGCAATGCCTGCTGTGTTTCTGCAGCCAGGTCACAGCCAGCACTGTCGCCCGGAAACTAGGCTCCATGACCTGTAGGAGAACAGTGAGTGACACTGCTGCACATCCTCCCTGTCCCTCACTCCTTCCCACCCTGTCTTTTGTGGCTAATGGTTTCTGATCCTTTCACTGGTTCTCCCTGCTCCAGGACTAAATGCTGCCTCCAGAAAGGACCCTCCTCTTACCTCACCAGGCATCTTTCCCTTGATTTCAGCCTCATCAACCTGTAGCACAGAAGCTAAATCTGAGCTGAGGGTCCAGGAGCCATCCACATTCTGCAGTGCCACCAGCTCTCTGCACTCAGCAATGGCATCACTCATCCACGGCCCAGAAATTGTAGAGCACAAAACAAATCTTGTTGAATCCACATACTTGAGAGAGGAAGTTGATGGTGGCATCTGTTTAGGTGCTGTGAAACAAGACATGAACAGGGAATCACAGGAAGATGATTCCTCTCCATTCCCGTGTGCAATGCCCCAGAACACTTCTCTCTACTCTTCCTCAGGCAGCTACCTGCAGACTGAGGCCCTCCCTGCATGTCCTCAGTGTAGTCTTGTCCCCAGCCCTTTTTGGACATCCCTTACTCATCCCTCTTCCCTTGACATTTCTGCCCAGCCAGGTGCCCCAGTGGTCTCCTGACATCCTAAACAGATATTGTCCAAATGTGCTTTCATGCTGAAGCACTGGCCCTGACACTTCTATGGGCGTCCTTGACCTGGATCCTACGATTGCTGAAGGACTTTCAGCTTTAAGAATAATTAAGGGAAAACTCAAACTCATTAGTTTCAAGACCAAGAGCAAGACGTGTAGAAAAGCAAAGTAACACTCCTATCAGACATTAATTAATCCCTGTGTTTCCTATCTGTGTCAAAGTCCCATACCTACTTTGTGAGCCCCAAGCTGGAATAAGTTAGCAATGCCATTGGTGAGTTGCTTGATGGCAATCCATGACTCCTGCAGTGCAGTGTGCCAGCTAGGTGGGTACCGTATGGTCTTAGGAAAGCAGGAAGTGCCAGTGAGGGAACCATGAAGCAAAAGGATCTTGCAGGGAACGAATGACTGGCGAGGTGGCAGCAGTGCCAGGGGCCCTTTGAGAGCAAAGAGGGAAAGGATCTAAATTAAGGTCATGGGGAAGAAGCACCTGTTGATGATGGGGCTTACGCATATTGTGGCTGGACTTCTGGCTCCTGTGGAATGAGAACAACACATGGAAATACCTCTCCAGTTCTTTTCCCCAAGTGTCTTTCCTTACCATGGTACCAGGGGGCCCTCCGTGATGTACGAACACCCACATAGCTGGTTAAGGGGCAGATGATCCCAGATGTGAGACTGATTTCGATGGCACGCTGCACTGGTTCATCCCCTGATCCGCTCGCAACCTCTGGCAACAGCTTCTCCAGCAAATATCTTGCGGCCAGACGATGACCAGCCATCCTGGGGACAGAGTGAGGTGAGGCCTGACATCCTGGGGAAGAAAGGGCCTGGGTTCTCTCCTTTCAGGAGTGAGGATGGGCAGAGGGAAGACCTGGATGCATGGACCCTTTTGTCTTGGAGGAAGTGATGCCCATGTACCTGGGTCCTGTCCACGTGGGTTCAAAACAGGGAAGGAGACCATGCTTGGAGAACTGGATTCTCTCCCAGTTTGGCGTGGTGTGTGGAAGCTGTGAATGTGTGAGCTATCTGTGTTCTGCTTAGCTGGAGTCCACGTGCAGAAAACAAGGAGATGCTCTTACTGGCCATCTCCCTGTGGGCATAGTGGGAACTGGATCTTGTGAGTGACGACCTGGCCATTCAGGTTGAACTGCAAGGTCATGACACCACTGGCCTCCTTCATATTCTGGAAACACATGTGAAATTACTGGAGACACAGATGGCTGCTGGGGGATATTTGGAAGTTACTGGAAGATTACCAGTGGTTATTGGAAGGTCATTGGAAGGTAACTGTAGTTAACTGGGATGGTAGCCCCAGCTCTCACTTGTTCCTTTCCATGGATCTGTGCATAGAGGAAGATGTGCTGACTCTGAAAGATGAACTGAGGGGTGCCTCCCAGCACCTCAACCTCCAGGCCAGAGGGCAAAGTCCAGTCCAGAGAGACTCCCTCAGCTACTAGCTTGAGGGCCTGCTTCAAGCATTTCAGCACCTGGGGAAAAATGGCAGGACACCACAATCTGGGAACTCCGTTAGAGTTGAGCATGTGGTCCCTCTGGGTTCTTAGTGGACACGGATATGATTGGTGTTCCAGTGTTGGCTGGGGTAGAGTTAATTTTCTTCCTAAGAGCTGACACAGTGCTGCATGTTGGATTTAGGATGAGAATCATGTTAATAACACGTCGATATTTTAGTTGTTGCCACGCAGTGCTTACATTAAGTCAAGGATTTTTCAGTTTCTCAGACTGCCCTGCCAGCAAGAAGACTGGGGAAACACAAGGAGCTGGGAGGGGGTAAGACCAGGACAACCAACCCAAACCAGCCAAAGGGATATTCCATACCAAATGGCATTGTGCTAAATGATAACACTGGGAGGGGGGAGCTAAATGATAACACTGGCTGCGACAGAGACTGCTGTCTGGGGACTGGCTGGGCAGTGAGCAACAGCATTGTGCATCACTTGTTCTGTATATTCTTTTATTATTATTATTATTATTACTATTATTATTATTACTATTATTATTATTATTATTATTATTATTTTCCCTTTGTTTTCTGTCCTGCTAAACTGCTGTTATCTCAACTCATGTGTTTTCCTTTTCTTCCAGTTTTCTCCCACATCCCACTGGTGGAGACTGAGCAAAGGACTGCATGTTGCTTTGCTGCCTGCCAGGTTAACCACAGCAGATGGCCTGCACCAGCTGGCTTTCCTGGGAGCAGTCAGGTCTGTGAGATATAGCAGGAAAGAAGCCTGTTGTAAGAAGAAGCCAGGTACACCTACCTGGTATAGGGAACCTGCTTTGGCAGGGGGGTTGGACTCGATGATCTCTGGAGGTCCCTTCCAACCCCTACCATTCTGTGATTCTGTGATTCTCTGTGAAGCCTGGGCATTGGATTTCTCAGTGGAGTGAGGCAGTTGGGTAGAGTCAGGGAAGCCTGGGTGCCTGGGTTCTCAGGGGCAGCTGGGTCTTGGCTGCCATGAGTGGGTTGTCCAAGAACCCGGAAGGCTGTGCATTTGTGGAACAGAGGGCAGCAACCAGGGCTTCCAGGTTCCTACCTGAACTGTCGCATTGTCAGAAGAAACATAGACAGCTTCACCCTTTGTCTCCCTGGCAAGAGCTGTGGCCAGGGTAGCACTGTCCGTGGAAAAACACAAGGAGAAACACCTATTGCAGAATCAAGGAAAGGCTTCAGAAATGGGAGCTGAGCATAAATGCAAGCATGCAGGGAAAAGAGCTAGAGAATACTGGAGTTATAGCTGGGGATACAAATCTGGGGTGCAGAACAAGAGGGCAGGAGGAATGTCAGCGAGTGGACTGAAGGAGCTGGTGTTAGACAGGGAGCTGTCAGAGGAGAGCTGGAGCTTGGGGCAGATCTGGGGCCAGTCTAGTGGGGTGGTGCAGGAGTGTACAACCCTGTACCTCAATCTCCCTGCTCACTTTGTGAAGGGTGCCTTGAGTATGGGAGTATTAAGCAAGGACTCCCCAGTGGAGGTTTTGATACTGGATAGAGCTATGAGATAAGTCTCTGGACAGTGAATGGGCCGAAGGACTGAGACAGGTGAACAGAGGTCCTCATCCATGATGGGAAGAGATCGTGGACTGACTGAAAAACTGGGGGCAGAGCCCCCATTACCGGTGGCTGTTGCGATGATGGCAGACCTCAGCAGCAATGGCTTCCTTGTCAGGTGGTAGCCCAGACATGAACATGAAGAGCTGGGGTACAGGAGACATCAGTGGTGAGCCTTTGCACAAGAACCTCCAAATGGGGACAGCATGTCCCTGAAATGGGGAGAAGGGTCCAGGAGAGAGATCCCCTGTAGAGAAGCTACCCTCAGAGAGATATCCACTCAGGGACAGAGACCCCTTGAGATGCAGAACCATTTTTTCTGCACTCTTCTACACCTCACAGTATCCTTCTTGTTCACCTATGACCAGCATTCCCCTTAGGTTGCTCAGTCCACTCCCTCCTCCGTCCCCCATTTCCTATGTTCTCTCTGTGCCCCTGGGACATCTATCCTTCCATCCTTCCATGGCCCTGTGCCCAGACCTGGCATGCATGTCCTCAGGGGCAGGGAGAGTTGTAGATTGTGCGGAGAGTTCCCAGCAGGTCTGTGTCATCCAGTCTGGAGCCAATTGTGGGAATGAGTTGCATTGCTTCATTCAGGTTGTCCTGGGTGTATTCAACACTCTGCCTGCAGCAGACAAATGTGTTTGGAGAGCACATTCATAGAATCATGGAATGGTTTGGGTTATAAGGGACCTTAAAGATCATTGAGCTCCAACACCCCTGCCATGAGCATGCTTGCCAACATGGCCCTGTGCTGGTCCCAGTGCTCTCTGAGACCCACTACCATACCTGTACCCCATCATTTTCTGCAAGACCCTGCCCCCTACTAGTTCATAAAGAGATCTGGAGTCCTAGTTTCTACAAGACTCTTCTCAATAGAACCATAAGAGATGCTTTCCCATACTGCCACGAAGATCCTCTCCCCAGAATCCAGCCCTGCCCTCCAGTACTGCCTCCAGTCACGCCTTCCAGTACCCAACATTGCCCCATACCAATCAGCCTATTTCAGAGCATCCCAGTCTGCTCTCTGACATCTCATTCTGCCTCATAATATCTATCATAACCCCACAGTACCCAGCCATGCTCCGCAGTATTGAGCTTTTCCCACCAGCTACATAGCACTCATCCTGCCCCATGTTTGCTTACGGGTAGATGCGCACAGATGTTGCTCCATAGCAGTAAATGTTGAAGTAGCAGTCCAGGGGCAGGCTTTTGAGAAGGAAGCGCAAGGGGTCCTGTGGAAAGACAAAGCAGGCTTGTCTTGGATGATACTGGTGGGGAATACAGATGCCCTGGTCCTTAGATTTGTCCTGCCAAATCTCAGGCTCTGCTCCCTCTCAGCCTACTCTTTCACTCCAGTTTGGCCCCGCTTTGTGAAGGTACCTGTATGTGCTCAAGGGAAGTGCTGTCCAAAACAAAGATGAACTCTCCAGACTGGCACTGGCCAGGTTTTGCATCAGGGATGTTGGGTGCCAGTGTCACCAACACCAGGGAATCACCAAACAGAGAGCCTGGAGGAGATACACAGTGCAATGAAGCGCAGTTTGGGATCACTTTCCTCATCCTGGTTCTGTTCCTCATTGTTGTCTCAGCATCCACCATCCCAGAGACCCTGATACCCCATACTGGTACACTGATACTCTACTGCACTGTCCACCAATTGCACAGCCAAGTGTCCCATCAGCTCAGTGCCATCAATACAGTTACCCAGTGAGCCCCAATATAAAGTTCCTTGTACCCATCCTGGTAGATCTAGTACTTCATGACAGTGTACCCAGCACCTCTCCCTCCTCCCCCCCCCCAGGAGCCCTAAGACCCCCACCAACTCACCTGGATGTCTCCCATGTAGTCCAATGAAGCCTCTCATCCCACAGTCCCCACTGTCTCCCTGTGCCCCAGCACCTCCTGATACCCAGAGGTGCCCCTGCATTCCCTCTTCAACTGAACTCACCTGCAGTGGCTGCAGGGTTTCCTTTCTCCACCACAGCACTGACTGCAGTAGGTTCTCTGTAATACACCAGCAGCTCCAATTGGTGATTTGGGGGAGTGCCAGCCAGTGAGACCTGGAGAAGGGTTGCCTGGTCTTATGCAGGAGGAAGTGACTCAGGCCCAGCATAATGCTGGGAGCACAGCACTGATCCCAGTGCATTCCTTTTGGCTCAGTAGCGATGCCACCTGACAGCTCCCAGAATTCTGGAATTCAGCAGGGTGTACCTGTGCAGCACTGTGGTCCTGGGCAGTGTAGATCAAAGGAGTGAGGGCACAGTTGGCCTGGACATCAGCCACAACACTGGGTGACTGCAGGCTGACAGTGAGCAGGAGGCTGTAATGCAGCTTGTCAGTGCGACAATTGCAGGCTGTGAGCAGAAATATAGCATAAAGGAGAGCACTGGCTCTCCATGCAGTGCATGTGGGATTTGGCATCCATATATAGAACATGTGGAGAGAACTGGGGATGTCAGTAAATTTTTGGAAGTGTCTCTGAGTTTATTTATGGGGAACTCATGAGGGAGATACGGATCCACTTCAAAATACACAAGGAAGAAAGCACAGATCTGCTCAGGGGCTGCATTGTGGCAAAATATCAGTGGGTGCAAAGGAGGTTGCATTGGGTCTGTTCACAGAGTGAACTGGGAGTATGGTTCTTCTCTAGGGCACGTGACTGTCGGGCAGGTTTCCTTTAGGATTACTCACTGTAGTGAGTCTTGCGAGGATGCATTGTGGATGGCAGCACAAACTGGGCTGCTCCATCTGGCTTCCGTGACAGCTCTTGGACATAGTGTAGGGTCACAGCCATTTCCTTGCCAGGGGACAGGGAACCCAGGAAGCAGGCAAACACCTCGCCTGATTCCTCAATCCCATACTGAAGGTAATGAAAATTCTCCTTCTCCACTGCAAACTTGTGCAGCTGCTGGGCCTGGATGGGAAGGAGAGGAACAGAAAGCTGATTGCTGACCAGGCCATGGGCTGCTCATCCCATGCTGCTCTCACGGTTCTCCCATTCTTTCCCAAATGCTGGTACCTCATCCTGCAGCACAGCCTTGACCTTGGCATCCTCACTGCAGGCCTGGAAGGAATAAATGGCCATATGGGGGCCCAGGGGGAAGACAAAAGTAACTTCTGAGGATCTCAGACTCTCGTTATGGTAGATCAGTTCAGAGACCACGTCAGCTACGTAGTCCTGGATGGCAGCATCCACCACAGCACTAGAGAGGGGCAGTGAGCACAGGGGTACGTAGAACTCCTTTCCCAACAAAAAGGATCCTGGTTCTGTTGAGAGAGTTGCAACCTTTCCATCCAAACCCACGAACAACACACTGCTTCAAGTGTGTGGCTTCACATTATGGAATGTGAAGCTGACAGTTCAGTGTTGCACAAGGAGAGATTCTCCCCCCTCAAGGGCAAAAGGGAATCATAAGTCGTTGTGCATGGATTAGATATAGCATTGTTGAGGATCTAATATAAGCCTGCCATAAGAAATTTCATCTGCTTGTGTATCCCAGTTTCTTTTCCCCATCAATGCCTCTGTTCCCCACCCCAATGCTGTAGACCTCTTCACCATTCCCATCCTTGTTTCCCTTCACAAGATCCAGTCCAGACATTTCCCACTACGGCAACCTATCCTCCTCCTTTCTTTACCTCTTTTTGAGGGCATCCCCTATCCCCTAAATGTCCCTCAGCTGTCCGATTCCCCCCTCACCATTGATGTCGCTTTTTCCTAAAAGTCCAAAGCTCTGATGCCACATCTCTGGAGACCTGCAGACAGGAAGGGGTCTCATGTAAGAGGAGAGATCCACAAACACCAGCAGGCAACCTCTGGGTGGTCAAGATTCCTTGTAATTTCACCATGCTTACATACAAGCCTGGAGGCCCTAAGCCACTGTGCATAACCAGAGCAAATCCAGGGATTCAGAAATCCCTGTTCATAAAGACTAACCAGGAGTATAATTGCATTAAAGAGGTCTGCACCTCATTCCCATCATGGGAGAATTCTGAAGAGAAATGAAGAATAGCGAAAGGAGATAAAAGGAAAGAAGGTGTGAAAGCAAGAGTGGATGGGTGGATGGGCGGGTGGATGGATGGGGGCAATACATATCAGCATGGGATCCATTTGGGGACAGGCAGATGCAGAAGTATACAGAGGTAAGAATTTTTGTTAAATAGATGGATGGATGGATGGATGGATGGATGGATGGATGGATGGATGGATGGACCAACAAGTGGATGGAAGAATGGATGGGTGGATGGGTGGATGGATGGGTGGGTGGATGGATGGATGGATGGATGGATGGATGGATGGGTGGGTGGGTGGGTGGATGGATGGATGGAAGAATGGATGGGTGGGTGGGTGGGTGGATGGATGGATGGATGGATGGATGGATGGATGGATGGATGGGTGGGTGGGTGGGTGGATGGATGGATGGATGGGTGGATGGATGGATGGAAGAATGGATGGGTGGGTGGATGGATGGATGGAAGAATGGATGGGTGGGTGGGTGGATGGATGGATGGATGGATGGATGGATGGATGGATGGATGGATGGGTGGGTGGATGGATGAGAAGGTGGACGGATCCATTTTAGAAGAGATGAGTGGGTCCCATCATAAACAGTATAGCATGAATATAGCTGCACAAGGGATTGCACCTGTGAAGTATATTCGTGGAGTAACTCACAAGGGCAGACTGAAAGGCCAGGCGGTGTGGAGGAACACAGTGGAGAGAGAATTTAAGCCAGGGTCAGGTATTCTGTTGTGGCAGAGCAAATAAATCCCGGAAAGGCACCAGTGGGAGGGTGTTGTTAAATAATGTTTTGCTGCCCTCTGGCAAAGTATCTGCAGATGAATGGGCTTCCTCAGCTCTACCCAAACCCAACCATATGTCTCTCTGATACGGATACATTTGCCTCACTTCCCACAGTTCCTGCTCTGAGGTGGCAGGATGAGCAGCATCAGAAAAATTCCCACTCTGCCATCATGCCGACAGCGGACAGGCAGAGCAAACAGCGTGCACATCCTCTGGGAAGTAGGGATGAGGAATGGTCAGAGGGATTACCTGAATAGGGTCAATCTCATCCCAGTGAGTGGAGACAATGAACAGAGAACAGAGAGAAAGTAACAAACTGAAGGACAAACAAGCAGACACTCACCAGAATAATGGCCTAGGTCATCAGCTGGGACGAGACAGACAGTCAGATGTAGGGAGGGAGAGATGGAAGGAAAACAAGGATAGAGAGTAAGAGGCAGATGGATGAGATTTGAGGCGGAAGGGGGAGGGAATAAGAGACGGAGCAAGAGATGTTCAGGCAGATAGGAAGATGCAGGGCTACGTAAATGCGGGGACGTCTGCAGTGAAGACAGAAGAGAAAGGGAGGTGAGACGAGAGGACGGACGAGGGGAGGCGGGCAGGGGTGGGGACAGGGAGCAGAGGGGGGGGCATCTCCAGGGCGGGGAATGTCTTCCTCTGCTGCGGGATGCTCCGTGCACACAGGCTTGTGTGCATAGGCACGCCCAGCACTCGTTCCCCAAAGGAAGCTGCTGCAAATCGCTCAGCAGGACTGCTGCTGGCGGAGCAGCTTCTGCCAAACCTCTTGCCGCCCAGCTCTTCTGCTGTGCCTTCACGTCTCATGCAATTAACATTAACTGCCAAGGCCATCTGCAGACAGAGTGGTGATTGCTGTGTGCCTGAGGCAGTGGCATTCCTCCTCCTGCAGTCGTCTCATCGCCAGATTTGGAGGCTAGGCTCAGGTCCGTATACTTATTAGTGCTGGGCTGCTAGTTGAGTGAGGGATTGCAAAGCTGCAAGCCCAACATTCTGTCCAGCTGAAAAAGAGAGAGAACTGGTAGGTGTACTCAAACTCACAAATCTCCTTTTGACTTGAGTGTCCTCCATCCTTGCCAGACAGCTTCCTCGCATAAGCCAGCTCCATATTCATGCCTTCTTGGCAGCAGCTTGACACAATCCTCCTCATTTGTGGTCTACAGGTGCTCAAGAGGCCAAATCACATCTGACTTCAGATGCTTTTATCCCAGAGCATACCCTAATTGTCTCTTTTCTATGAGTATGCATAGGATTGAACTTTCTCACCGTCTGATGGTGTTGTTCAAATGCTTCTTGAACTCTGAGAGGCTCTGTGCCATAACTGCTTCTTTGGGGAGCCTGTCCTAGTACCTAACTACCCTCTCAGGGAAGAACTTTTTCCTAATACACAATTTGAACTTCCTCCGATGTAACCTAATGTAATTCCCTCAGGTCCTAAGGTATAGCATCCCAGCTGTAGATGCTGCTTGCTGTACCCAAGGAACTAGAAAACCATGCCCATGTTGTGAGAGTTAGAACTAGATGATCTTTAAGGTCCCTTCCAACCAAAGCCATTCTAAAATTCTATGATTCTATGATTTTATGAACTAATGAATGACGGATGCTTAAAAGACCTCCAACTTGATGGAGACCACTCAGTGTCCATGAATGGACACTTGGGTGCTGGACCCCTGGCATCTCTCTCCAGAGCATCTGTGGAGGTTGGCCGCCATCCCAGTTGAAGAGCTAAGGTCTTCTTTTGAAGAGCAAAGGAATGACACCGGGACTTAATGTGACATAATCTGGTCAGATCCTCATTTACTGTCAGTCTGCACAAGATATCAGAGGCTGTTAAATCCAAAGTAGGAAGCAGTCAGATGATGGCTGACCTTGGCCTGGTCTAGCGGTTGGTGACCTTGTCCATGGCAGGGGGGTTGAACATGGATGACCATTAATGGTCCTTTTCAACCCAGGCCATTCTATGATTCTATGATTCTGTGATTCTGTGATTCAATGATTCTGTGATTCTGTAATTCTATGACACCAGTCCCAGCTGTTGACAACGATGTAAAGAGCTGCTGAAGGCATAATTGTAGTCATCTCTCACAATCCTTTCTCATGAACACACACACATGTATGCATACACACACTCTGAAGTTCTCTGTCATTTCACATACTGGGGGAACCAAGTTGGCACCCCAGATACGAGTTCTTATTGAAGTTCTAGCTTGTCTGGCATGGCAGCACTCAGCAGTAGTGCGACTTCATTCAGATGGTCCAATGTTTACCTCCATTCTCCATCATACTTCCCCACAGGCCTTATGGGACTAATGTGAAGAGTGGGCGAGTCTTGCTGTTCACTCCTTGCCTCTCCAGTCAATGAATCAGCTTATGGATGGGGATCAGGGAGTTTCAGTTGGTGAGATATTGCACCAGTGCACAACAGTAGTAGTGATCGGCTCGTGCTTTTCTTCAACTCTCAGCAGCCCCACAGTGGAAGGATCTTTTGAGAGTCCAAACAAGGTAGACAGCTGTTTCATGTCTTCCTCCTCCAAAGCAGCTATATTTCAATACAGCTTTCAAGTGCACCCACTGGGGTCCTACCTCCTGAGGTAGTCTATGATAAGGATTCACGGAACATCCAGACTAGTCACAATGGGGTGCTTCTGCCACTCCTTCCCTGGTGGTCTCACTTTGGCCTCCACTACAATTAGCTGTTGGGATTTCCATGTCATGCCAGAAAAACAGGTGGGTTCTGTCCATTTACAGCTGGGTGGCATTAGAGTGCATCAGCATTGACTAGAGCCTTAAACATCATGGGTCTGATGTGCCAGGCCATTGAATCCATGCAGCTGGACAGACTCAGCTGTCTGATTCCTCCACCTGCTGGAGGCAGGACACCTCTAGTCCTGACTGTGGTATCCATCTTGTGTTCATCCTTGTAAATGCAAATCACAAGTCCCTTCTTTATGTTCAGAAGTAAGATCAGCCCATCTAACCTGCCTGGATAACTGATGACTAGAAACCACTGTGGCAATTTTCGTGGGAGAACTCCTTTTGTGATTGTTTTTCTTGCAGCTCCATTGCATGTCAATATTCTATATCCCCTTCAGCATGGTTAATTCCTTCACGTTCTGAATACTTTTTCTGCATAGTGGTCAACTTGCCTGGGCTACATGCCAGCTCTTTCTTGAAGGGATGTCTTTCCTTCCTGGCTGACGAGAGTCACCTCCAGAAGCTGAAGGCTTGTCTCCCTTTTGCAATTTCTTTGTCTTCGCCATCTTTCCTAGAGAGGGATCCAAGGGATATTCTTGCACATCTTGTAGCTCACCCATGGTTTGGGGTCAGATGGTTACTGCCTCCTTTATAAGTTCTACCTCCTGTTCTTGTCACTGTCCAGCTTATTGGAAGCCTTCCTCACCCTCTCCTTCTAACCTCTTCTTAGTAGAAGTTACTTTCCTTACAAAATGAGGTGAAAAACTTCACAACCATTGTTTCATCTTATGTAAAGGAGCAGCTGATACTTGCAAAGGTTTGTTGTCTTTTTGAAAGACTGTTGAAGAGGTTGGAGCAGTCACAGGGCCTGTCACAGAGTTTGGGGAAACTGCAGGGCTTCTTACAAGGGTTGGAGACACAGCATGGCCTGTGGAGCAACTGCAGATCCTGTTGCAGGGGCTGGAGCAGCGGCAAGGCCTGTCACAAGAGTTGGTGCAGTGTTGAGTGTGGCTCAGCAGGAACTCCAGCCCCAGGGACAGTAAATAGCACAAGGATCATATGCCATATAGTCTCTGAAATCTAAATCTAAATCTAAATCTAAATCTAAATAATATAAATAACATTGTGACCAGCAGCTATTAAATGACAGTAATATAAAAATGTTTGAACATGCTCTGGTCATGTTGTTATCTCAAGCCTTTGTGCCCCACGTTGGGTTTCAGAAAGCCCTGCTGTGGTTTAACGTAGCAGGCAGCTCAGCACCAC